CAATGTTGTCAGTATGGTTTCTGCATAACAGTGCCATATATATATATATATATATATTAATGTCTGTATGTCTGTTGTTTTTACATAAGGTTGCAGTTGAGAACCGATTTGGCCATCTTGTACTCTAGCTAGAGGGCAGGGGTTTCCATGACAGATGTGATCTTCTACATCCATTCTGATACACGCGCACACACATTGTGTATTTCTCCATCATGATAATACACCGCTTTAGGATGACCTTTGATTCTTTGCAGTGATTCGATCAATACTTGGTTCAACCATCATGTACCATTGCTTTATGACGGTGGAAAAACCTTATTTAAAAAACAAATGTTTTATGGGAGATGTTTACCATTGTTTAACCGACTGTGTTTTCTTGAGGTGTAGTGTGAAGAATCATGTCCTTTGCCCAAGTCTCTGTTGAACCAGTTCAGTAGAAATGGACTGGACTTTGTTCCTTGTTTGTTACATGTAGTGAGGGATTTTGTGACATGTCTGCTGTGAGCAATTAACAACTGTTGTTAGATTAAAGTGTTAAATGAAATCCATACAGCGTTAAATTTAATCTGAAGTAACAACTCTTTACAGGCTCATTTAAGTAACATAACAGCACTTTCTTTCTGTTCCCTCCACCCAATCAAAGGAAAACTTTTTTGTATTATGTCACTAATACAACACCTTTATCCTGTCAGAGAGTTTTGTTAATGCCTTTGCTAATGCAATTTTCTTTCAGTGTCCACTGTAATGGTCTGAATGTGCGGGCAGCAAAGACTCAGTGATTTATCTTGATATTATAGGTTACCAATATATTAGCCTCTGATTTCCATCTGAACATTGGCACTGCTACTTGGCCACAGATTCAGATACCACATGAATTCAAAACCGCGCATTAAACGAAATTGCAAAGCGGATAAATCTAACAGGATGTGATGTTAATGTAGATGTGAAATTCACTAAACTGACATCGATGTTGGGCTACTGCCACGTAATTTCACTTTCGGACGGTTTTTGACTTGATATCTGGAATCAGAGAGATGTGCATTAGCTTTGTGCATTAGCTATGTGCATTAGCTTTGTGCATTAGCTTTGTGCATTCGATTTGTGTCTAGTAGCTTTGTGCAATAGCTTTGTGCATTAGCAGCTTTGTGCATTAGCTTTGTGCTTTAGCTTTGTGCATTCGCTTTGTGCATTACCTTCGCGCATTAGCAGCTTTGTGCATTAGCTTTGTGCATTAGCTATGTGCATTAGCCTTGTGCATTTAATTCAAAAGCAGAACTTTTTATTGGGAGGTCTGTATGTCAATCAATCCCTCCCCTGCCTCCAGTCAGCGCATGCGCACTCGATCGTCTTGGATGTTTCGAACCTATTGACTATTGAGACGGATTCAGACACAGGTGCTTCCAGAGCTGCAGGTGTGTGGTCTACCTGAGAACGGTTCATTAATATCTCAAAGCATCTTTAGTGTTTTTCACTATAATTTCACTTGATTGTATAGTTTTATTTGTTAGTAACTTAAGCTTCCATTGCCACCAAAAGATGAGAAAAAACATATTAATTTGTGCGTCTGCAAAATATGTAATCGTTCTGTATTTCAATAAAGATCATTTATTTTCTAAAATGAATATTCGACCGTCTTTGAGATCAAGTCAGTTTAATATACATCAATTATAGTAATTTTATGTCGGTCAGAAATATATTTAAATTGGTTCACAATAAACAGATGTCACTTAAAACACTGTATTCCAGATCCTGTGTCACGAGTGGTGAGTAAGTGTACTGCACTGTCTGGTTTCGGGTGCACCCTTTCCTGGTTTGTGTTGGTTACAGCTGTTGGGGATTTGCAATCACTGGGCTATAAAGGGGATTGCTAGATGTCACTCGTTGCGCTTCATTGTTACATGTCACATTGTTTGTAGAGGTGAGTGTTATATGTATTAGAAGACGTGCTGTTATTTGAATGTTTCGTAAGTCGCTGTGTATGCGCAATATTATTTCTAGTTAACAGTTTTGTGTCTGTTCGCCGTACTCGGTTTGTTTGAGTTTGTCCTTTAATAAACCTGACTAAAACGGATTACCTGGCTCTGCACCTGGCTCCCTGCACTACACCCTACGGTTCGTGACATCCTGGCTGTGTGTCTGTTATGTTGTGGCCATTGGGCATCCATTATTCCACATCCATTATTCCACATCCATTATTCCACATCCATTATTCCACATCCATTATTCCACATCCATTATTCCACATCCATTATTCCACATCCATTATTCCACATCCATTATTCCACATCCATTATTCCACATCCATTATTCCACATCCATTATTCCACATCCATTATTCCACATCCATTATTCCACATCCATTATTCCACATCCATTAAGGAATATGTTCATCTGGGTAAGGGGGTGGAGCTCCAGACAACTCTTGTGCAGTAAGTACTTTTATATCTTCTCATATTTTACACAAATGGATAAAGGTGTAATATACTACATTAGTTTATTCTATGGTCGGTAAAGCCGCAGTTCATTTTAATGTTAGACACATTCACATTACATTTTACGTTTTAGTTACATTTTAAATGTTTTCATAAAAATGTTGTTTTAATGAAAATCTTGCCATTTAAAAACATATTAAAGCCTATATAAAACTATCAAAAAGGGACACTGAATGCTAAAATTAGCACATAACAAAATGTAGCTTTGTGCATTAGCAGCTTTGTGCATTAGCTATGTGCATTAGCTTTGTGCATTAGCAGCTTTGTGCATTAGCTTTGTGCATTAGCTTTGTGAATTAGCTTTGGGCATTAGCTTTGTGCATTAGCTTTGTGAATTAGCTTTGTGCATTAGCCGCTTTGTGCATTAGCTTTGTGAATTAGCTTTGTGCATTAGCCGCTTTGTGCATTAGCAGCTTTGTGCAAAACCCCGTTTTTTCCAGCGTTATCTGCTCCCTCATCGGCTTCTGCTTCCTCTGATTCCTCTCCTCCATCATCTATAGCCCTCTCTAACTGTTTGGAGGAGGTTGGGGCATGGATGACTCAAAATTTTCTTCAGTTGAACAGCTCTAAAACTGAAGCCATTCAAATTGGCACCCCTCATCAGGTCCAGTCATCAACCATAACCACTATTTCCTTCTCCGGCCAAGACATCCCCCTGTCAACTACTGTCACCAACCTTGGTGTTAAGCTAGACCCACAACTGACCTATGCAAATCATATCAAACATCTTTACAAAACCTGCTTTTTTCACATCAAAAACATTTCTAAACTTCGCCCCTTACCTACTTTCTCTGACGCAGAAAAACTGGTCCATGCCCTAATCTCATCCAGGCTGGATTACTGTAACAGTCTGCTTATCGGTATTCCAAATAAACACCTTCAAAAACTTCAATTCATCCAGAACTGTGCTGCCCGAATTCTGATAAAAACACGCAAACATGAACACATCACTCCCATTCTCCAGAATCTTCACTGGCTCCCTATAACCTCAAGAATTCAATATAAGATTGCCCTCGTCACCCACCTTTGCATCTATAAAAACGCCCCTACATACCTAAAAGAACTCATCACTCCGCACTCGTCCACCCGAAATCTCCAGTCTAGCACAAATCGCCTCCACCAGCCACGTTCAAAACTTCGCACCATGGGAGACCGAGCCTTTTGCATTGCTGCTCCTCGCATCTGGAACTCCCTCCCTGAACATCTGCGAAAACCCCAATCTGTGGACTCTTTTAAAAAAGAACTTAAAACCTTCTTGTTCAGGCAGGCGTTTTTAATATGTCCTTAGGATTTACTTTTATTTTATATTGTTATTTTAACTAATTCACTTGGTCTCTGTAGCACTTTGAGATTATTTTATGAAAAGTGCTTTACAGATAAAATGTATTATTATTATTATTATTATTATTATTAGCTTTGTGCATTAGCTTTGTGCATTAGCTTTTTGCATTAGCAGCTTTTTGCATTAGCAGCTTTGTGCATTAGCTTTTTGCATTAGCAGCTTTTGCATTAGCAGCTTTGTGCATTAGCTTTGTGCATTAGCAGCTTTGTGCATTAGCAGCTTTGTGCATTAGCTTTGTGCATTAGCAGCTTTGTGCATTAGCAGCTTTGTGCATTAGCAGCTTTGTGCATTAGCTTTGTGCATTAGCAGCTTTGTGCATTAGCAGCTTTGTGCATTAGCTTTGTGCATTAGCTTTGTGCATTAGCTTTGTGCATCAGCTTTGTGCATTAGCTTTGTGCATTAGCCTTGTGCATTAGCTTTGTGCATCAGCTTTGTGCATTAGCTTTGTGCATTAGCTTTGTGCATTAGCTTTGTGCATTAGCTTTGTGCAGCTTGTCCCTACACATACCCACCAGTCAGATGTGCAGGGTGGTGTTTATATGGACGTCATATTAGTGTTCAGGGGGTTACTTCATACTGTGTGTTAGGTGTTTAAGGTGTGGGTGTGGTTGTTACAGTGGTCAGGATTCACCAGAACTGCTAAAGAATCATTAAAAGGGTGTTAATACCAGAGTTATAGTGATGATTACTATTTTATTTTAATGAGAGCAATGGTTGTTTCTCTATGCAGCTACTTGTGAATCCCAATCGCCAGTCAAGTTTAATACCTGTCAAAACACTTCCAATGTAGGGTTTATTCGATTAGATTGCGTTGTATTGCCATTGAACAGTACAAGGACAGTACAACGAAATGCAGTTTGCATCCAACCAGAAGTGCAAAAAAGCAGTCACCACTCTGTCAAACGTCTGACATTTGCAGACGAGACCACGCTCATTGGTCTAATCTCTGATGGGGTGCAGTCTCAAAAACGTAAAGCTCAATGCTCTAAAGACTGTGGCGATGGGAGTGGACTTTTGGAAAAGCCCGGCTGACCTTTGTCTCATTGTCCTGGATGGAGCCCCTGTCAACACAGTGGAGTCCTTTCACTTCCTGGGCAACATCATCACCCAGGACCTCTAGTGGGAGCTGAACATCTCCTCTGTCACTAAGAAAGCTCAACTGAGCAGTTTGTCTTGCTCAGTGGTAGTGTGCATGCTTTTTATGTGTTAGGTCCTGGGTTCAATCCCCAGCTTCTCCCCAGGTTGCTGTTGCAAATAAGAATTTGTTCTCCATCAGCCAACCTGGTTAAACAAAGGTAAAACGAATAAATAAATAATAAAGACTGCTCAAAAAGTACAAACTGCCAACACCCATGATGATTAATGCCTACACTGCCATTATTGAGTCCATCCTGACCTCCTACATCATCTGGTAAGCTGCAGCCACTGTCAAGGACAAAGACAGACTGCAACGCATCATCCGCTCTGCAGAGGGGACCATTGGATGTAAGCTGCCGTCCCTCAACGATCTGTTCCATGTCAGGTCACTGAGGCGGGCAGCAAAGATTGAGGCAGACCCCTCCCATCCAGGTAACAGACTATTCAGAACTCTCCCCTCTGGCAGACGGCTACGGTCTATCAAGACCAAAACATCTTGCCACAAGAACAGCTGAATCTGCACATTGTTTTTTTTGCACAACTGTGTATATATAAATAGATATTGCGCTTTTGCACATTTTGATACTTGAGCCTAGCGAATAAAGCTGATTCTGATTGTGCAAATGGCAGTTAACTTCCTGTTGCGTCTTTTTGAACAGGGTTGTGGTGTTGCGGGACCCGGATGGATCGTTGGAGATGTGCACATCCAGGAATTTGTAGCTGGTCACACGTTCCACTGTGTTCTCCTCAATGGGAATTGGGGCATGTATACAGCTTTTTGTCTATAGCTTTGGCTTTTTATATAGGCTTGAATACCTTGAAAGACAGGACAGGAAAGATGCCCTTTGCAATCAAATCAAAGTTGAATGCCAACATACAGATTAAAAGCAAATATATATTCTAATTAATTATGTAGCACAGTAGTGAAACTGATTAGCTGGAACAAAAGGGGAACAACCTACACTCTATAGAGTTCCGGGGGATAACGTAGTTACGCGACCTGAAACCGTGGGCACAGCCATTTTGGCAGCATTCGGCAGATTGGCAGACTGTTGTGTTCTAAACATGGTCAGTAACTGTTGTGCACCAGGTTGCACAAATAAACGAGGGAAAAAAGAAAGATACGTCGTGGATCAGCACCATTAAAAGAGCCAGGAGCAAGTAAAACAAGAGTGAAAGATGGGACCCCCCAGCCGTATATAACACCCAATGACCTAAATATCATTAAAGGAATGGATTAAAGGAAAATAAATGTCTTAAACTTTGTATTTTTAAATTAGTTTTATTAATAAAGTAAAGGCATAGAACCAGTTTAGTGCATTGACAATATTTTTATATAATTAAATTAATAAAAAGACAAAAATACCTTGATATGTTTGGTAATTGTACCTGACACCTGAACCACAGAGGGAATGATTAACCTATACATTAAATTAAAAATGTCACCTAATTTGGTTGAGTACATCAAAAATACAAACTAGCTACAGATAGCCAGACTCACCACAGTTGCTAGCCAAGCTAACGTAAACAAACAACCCGGACCTCTACTAGCCATGCTAACGTTACACTACCTATTAAACTGGAACACCTACCGTTCCAGTGATGCAGCATTTTTTTTGCTTGAAGATTCCACAGTTGGATGTTCGTTACAAAGCCAGACTGAGTCCACTTGCAACCCTCCAGGCTTTTGTAGGCTTTCAGAGAGTCACCCGAGTAGGAATGGGAAGTTTATCAGGTAGTTATATATATCCGGATACTGCATATCTGGGACGTCTTCTTCAGCGGAGATACTTTTGAAAAGCACCCCGGGGGCATTGTATGGGTCGGTAATATTTAACCTACCTAATTTTTATAATGCATAATAATTTTTATATAAAGCTCAATGTCATGCAAATTAAAGTGAGATGAGTACTCCGATGGCTTGAAAGCTTCGGCGCTGGTCATTTTACTGCCGAAATGGCGGCCCGAACACTGGTTGTCACGTGGGGTCCGGAGCTCTAAAGTGTGAGATGTCAAGGTTGGTTGCATTTGTACTTGTGTTTCTGGCATCTAGACCTTTTTTGGAATGCTATCATTATTATGTTCTTATTGAGATTTTCTATCTGGATCCAATCATTTGCACCGAAGATCTTCTTTCTGCTTTTGCCTCATCTTGGTTTAATACGGAAGCACCGATTCATCTGTAATAAGTCGACATTTGATTTGTCAGTCCACTGCAGACATTTCTAGTGTCCTTGTAAATTGATTTATATGAATGTGTAAGAGAGTGAAGCTCAAGCTGCATCCCTGTTTCAACCCACATTGGTCCTGTTCTATTTCACTCCTTCAAATCCATTTAAAAAGCTGTTACATGGGAAATATGTGTTTATGCTTTTTGCATTGTCTTTACCATTGCCTTTTTATCCTATCTTCATCTTCTCCTCTCCCTATGTCACTCTCCCTGTCTCTTTGTCACACTCTGTATTATCTGTATCCATTTGTCCCTTTCCTCTCTGTCTATTTGGCTTCTCTAGTTGCTGGTGGCAGAAGTAGACACTCCTAACAGATTGTGTATTCCCCGCCAGAGGCAGAGTATCTCATGTCACTGCCTATTCACAGAACAGAAAGTGCAAACATTTCAGTGTGAGCAACAGCTTCTTGTGTCCTCCGATAAGACCAGGAGAACCAGGAAACATATCTTCTTTTGATTCTCTAGGAAGAAATGTTGTCAGCCAAGTGGTTGGGGATTGTGTAAATTAAGAGGTCACTTGTATTAATCCTAAACTGGCTTGATGAGTGGTTCTGCCCTTGAGCAAGGCAGTGTTTTCTTGCATGGACACAGTTACAAATATATAAGGGCCGTGTTAAGTGTTGGGGTCTGTATAGGTTAATGGTAAAGCCCTACAACAACATAAGGCGCGTGTGACAGGGAAGGCCACAGGGGATGAATTGGATTCATTGCCATGGAGACCGTCAGACACCGACACCTTCAATCTTCCGGGTGATCACAACTCAATCAGCACTGTCAGGTTACACCCTCACCAACAGCTGGCTGTCTGTCATACACAAGAGCAACAAACCTTATACAGTACATGTATTCTCTTATCCTGTAGTAAACGATTTCAATGTATCTCTCCCATATTTTTTTTTAATTCTTTCTCTCTCTAATGTATGTGGTTGCAGTCTCTTCTACTATATATCTGTGCCTGTCAGTTGTTTACTGTGCTCTCCCACACCTAACCGTCTGCTTTTATAGTACACAAAAGGCATCTAAAACAGACCATATTTCCCTCCCTGATATTGCAAATACCACAGGGTCCAATGGAAGGTAATTTATTTCATTTTTTTTGTAGGTCAGCATGTCGTTTTACCTCAGCTTCTGACTCTTGTGACCTCTTTTCCAGTGCAGACAGCGAGTGGGAGTTGGGTGACAAGCCTGTGGGAGCAGTGGAATGAAATGCAGTGTTAGTGGGCGGGAGGTGATGAGATCTGTCCTACACAGACTTCTAGATGCAGTGGTATGAAATGCAGTGTTAGTGGGCGGGAGGTGATGAGATCTGTCCTACACAGACTTCTAGATGCAGTGGAATGAAATGCAGTGTTAGTGGGCGGGAGGTGATGAGATCTGTCCTACACAGACTTCTAGATGCAGTGGTATGAAATGCAGTGTTAGTGGGCGGGAGGTGATGAGATCTGTCCTACACTTCTCAATGACAGACACATAGTTGCTCGGTCAACTAATTTGGCTTCTTATTTTTGTCATTGAATACTAACACAATCTCAACGGTCAACTTGGTGTATCTTTTTATAATAATTGATTTATGCTAGGGTACTTTTTAGCATATTATAATATACAGTAAGTAAGAGCTTAAAAGCATTTGTGCCTTAATTGCCTTTTATTGTGTTGGCAGATCAGATGACAGCCATGTGATGTGGAAGCATGGGAGGCTGTATTAAGACCCTTGACCTCTGACCTCTTACTTATTATTGTCAATCATTCGGTGTGGAGGTGTTTTATGAGTCATACTTATTTCATATTCAAAGGCATCCACTATTATTATACACGCTTTCATATGAAAGTCATTGGTGTTGTTAGGTGTTTTGGAATAAATAATAAACCTTCCACTGTTGACGTTGACTTTTTTCAATATGTACCTGACGTGACTTTTAATGTGCCAATGCAAAATAAGCAGCTCTTTTTGCTAATGCCTGTGCTCGTGATGTAGAAATCAGATTGTGTAATAGAAGTGCCTTTTGTTTTTGTGTTTCCCCATTACTGTGTTGGTTAGCACTCCATAAATATCACTGGCTGAAACAATGCAGTGGTTGCCATTGGAACAAAGATCATTTGTTTCCACGGTTTCCTGGACCAACCAGCCAGGGAATTGACCAGAGTGTGCTGAGGAAGCTTCTTTGTGAACAACTGATTCACTATTGTACTGTAGAAATAATACTGCTGCAGTTGTTCTTGTAGGCAGCTGTTTGATAGTGTATTATATATTTCTAGAACAACATCAACAGACTTCTTGCAAACCAGGTTATTACAGACAGATTTTTCCCTAAAAGACCTGAAATGTTCATCAATGTGCTTGAGAAGATTACAAATTACAACTACCTTACCACATTCAGTTTTCACATTGTCTTAGTGTTATTGATTATTGAGTTGGGATTTAATTGTATCCTTCTATTACTGCGCTAATGCCATGTACACACAACAGAACCACCACCCTTTAAAATCCTTTCAGTCTACCCTGAAGAACAGAAGAGTGGGGGGTGTCAATTAGGGTGAACTGAAGTATAACAGAGAGGTGGTGGGGCTCATTGTTTACCTCGTTCTGAAAACACTAATTGACTGGCTAGTTAAACTCATTCAAATTAAGAAACACCCATGAGGTTTGAAAACCCACTGGATGCACATTACATGTTTACAACAACCAGGAGTTATTGTTACATTTGAAAACGTAATTGTATGCCAGGGTTAGAATTGGCCAGTGCATATAGATGTGTGTGTGTGTGTGTGTGTGTGTGTCTGTGCACGCGCAAGTGGAAGTGTGTCCTTCAGCCTGAGTTGACAGACAATGTGTCCCATCTGCTCTTCTGCCATCGTGCTGATACTGCCATA